TTAAATCCATTGTTTCATCTACATGTACAAAACATACCTTGTCATAGAAGGCAGCAGCTCCTGCACCATAGGGGCGGGCAGGCTTCAGTTCTCTCTCAGCTCGGGCGTACTTGGCCGCTGACACCCTTCATGGACTGTGTGATCTTCTGGATGTTCTTGACAGACTTGAGACGCATTGCGATGGCCTTGAGGGTGGCCATCCCTCGTACCTGCTGCTGCCCACTGGAAAATGAAAAATATGATGAAAATATCAGAACAATACCATATATGAGTTACACACAAAATATACTAATCTGATACAAATATAAAATGTTTGCAGTTTCACCATAAAAAATACACACAGCCATCTTGGTATGTATCAAAATATATTACAAGCAGCAATTAAACTAAAGTTTGTTATCCAAATGGAAGGAACATTCAGGTGAATATTTCCAAATCTAATTTTCATCTTGTAACTGTATTGCAAGACAGTTTCAACAATTTGGTCGTGAAATACCTGCAACTAAGATCAAACTATACAAAAGTATGGAATACAAGAAAACTAGTTTTCAAAATATAATAGTATTTAAAGTTTAAATTAATCTTATTCAACATACCAAATAAAGAAATAGAAAAAATCTGTAAACCTGTTTCTTCAAAAGGACAGCACAATGATTTTCCAATATTACTCACTTCGTACATTATCATCAGCAATATTAAGAATTCAGACACCTGCACAAATTCTAGGTAAGATACAATTTCGATACAACAAGAGTACAAGGAAAATAATAAGAGTAAGAGATAGATTAGATTTGAAATTTGTCATGAGGGGAAAAAAAAAAAAGGTTTAAAAATAACCAGACCTAGTGATAGGTCATATCAAAGTTCTCACATTGGCCAGCTTTCCTTCAATACTCTAGTAAAGGCCACCCCCTACCCCTTATCCAGCTCATTCTGATATTGGGCTCAGTTCATTGCTTGATGAAATCTCCACAAACTAAAACTGGTATCAGGGTTATTCATGCATCTTTTATCACTGACAGAAAATGAGCAGCTGCTATTTTAATATCTACACAGAGCTCAAATATGTTTTAGTTACCAATAAACTAAGTTTTGGTGATGCCCCTTTTTCGTACATGTTTGAAACAGGTTTAAATTCTTCTGCAGCCATGTCAGTTATCATCTAAACAGTCAAGTGTAAAAAATCATGGCAATGGTTAACCATACCATTGGCTAGGGAGGTTTTAGTTTACTAGGCAATATTTTTGGCTTTCTGTAAGTGCCCCTAACTTGATTACTGGGACTTGTCTCCAGAGAGGTGTGGTCTCTTCATAAATCAATTACAATGCTGACCTCTATGCTATTCTCTCTGGCAACAGCCAACTACCTGAGTGTGGATACCACATCACTAGATGTAGTTACAGATGGATTAATGGACTTTAATAAAATAGATACCTGGATTTTCTTATACTTTGTGTATGTTTTTTCTTCTTTTGAGATGGGGTACAAATTAAGTTAAGGAGTTTTCAGCTCCTTGTATTGTTTGGTAACAGTAATACTACAAATAAAATAAAGTCACAGAAAGCAGAACTTGCAGCCTAATTCCACTCTGTTTTTCAGCTCTATCTTACCATTTGAGGTGAAGACAATGTTTGCCAGGGGAGTGTAAGGTGGTGGAGCCCCCCCTTCTACCCTCCCCTTGGGCACTGCACAAAGGACTCACCCAGTCACAATACAGACTGCTGAATAAATTTTGTGATATGGAATTAGACTATCTCTGGCAAGTATTTCTGTACTATTAATTACCAAGATTGGTTATGACTGCAAGCCTCAGGCTTAAGTTAGCCCACCAGGCTAGGAAATCAAGTTTTTACTAGCCTGTAGCAAGTTTTACTAGCCCTAATATTGATTTCAACACAAGATTATTCTAAACACTAAGGTGCATGGCTCGATGGCACACAATGCTGCATGCCCTGTGTGCTGCTGTCTACTTTTAACTAGTCTGCTGGACTAGTTAAGTAGTGCATTTTATAAGCCGGTGGCTGGTTTTACTAGACAATGACCATCGGCAAAGTGCTAAGGTTGAGCCCTGGACTGTACAATTAACATGCACAAAAGCAATTTATGCAGGGTTACCATGCAGACAAGTTGTTTGGTGCATAAGATAAAGTTGGACAGTTTCCACTTGACATTTGTTTTCTCAATCTTAGTGTAGTCATCATGAACATGTGTGAAATACTTGGAATACAGAGGATTGGTCAATATACAGTCAAATGCAGGGAGCTGCTATCACCAAACCCTTACCCTAGACCACAATTAATCTATCACTCATACAGGAGAGCTAAAGAGACTCAACATTGGGAGTTTCTACGTGTTGGTCGTAAGCTCTACCCTGATGTGATATGGAGGATTTTTATGCTTTCCACGGCAGGGGTTGGGGGTGGTAACCCCCAGGAGGGGAAAAGCATAAGGCACCGCCCCCTGTATTAGACGACAGTATTATTCTGTAGGTATTATTTATATCTAACTCAGCAAATTCACTGGTACCTTTCATGCCCCAGCTTCTATTGCAAAAATGGTCACCAATGGGTGAACAGGAGAGGGGGGGCTTGCTGCATAATTTTGATAATTTTAAGACGAGTCCACTGAAGGTAAAACAGTTGTGATCTGTTATGTGAAGGTATTCCAAATAACCAACAAATAAATACCATTTCCAAGACTGCTGTGGCCTCATCAAACATTCATCCTATTCAGCAATCTTTTATAGCATGGATGCATTCGCCTGAGACTGTCCCCCAACTCCACGTCACTACCTCTATTCAACAAAAAAATACATGAATGCCCAAGGGAAGGGTTGATGGGGTAATTGTTACAGAGAGCAATGCACCCTCCAGAGACTGTCCTAAAACCAGGGTATCATGTATACTCAAAAACCCGACCTAACCTTTCCTACCATATATTTATTCCCTAGAAAGGGGTCAAGCCCCAATGTAACCCCATTTATTAGGACTAGGCCCAATTATAGAAAAACTGAGGGTGTTGTGGACATTTTCATCATCTACCGGTAAATATGAAGTTGCTGCTGCTTAAACTCGTTTTTTTCTTACTCTCAGTAACTAAGTATGCACATCAAGATAGAGCCAAAACTCAAAAACATCAAGTGACTTAAGCTGTGAGATGTACTACTTGTAATCTTTTTCTTTGTGGTGTACAGATTGTTTCTTAAACCTATGACTAACTTTGTCCTCTACAAGAATATTGGTTAATCTTTACGATGTGGACACACAAAGTTAGGGCAAATTGGATATATTCTTGCAGAGGACAAAAAGTTGCAGTAGCCAGCACAAGAAATAATCTACAGACACGGACAGCAATGCCACAAAAAAAGGAAAAAGACCGCAGAAAGCACCGCTCTTAGCCTAAGTCCACTTGGTGCTCCCGAGTTTCATCTAACTTGCCATACATAAGAGGTGAAGACAATGATTCCCGGCGATATTTTACAAAGGTAAAATATCGCAGAAATCATCGCTCTCAGCTGAAGTCCGTTCGGCGTTCCTGAGTTTCAGCTCGCTTGCCATGTATACCGAGATAAAGACGGTTTGCTAGGGGTGGGGGATTGAGGGCAGAGCCCACCATCAACCCTCCCCTTGGGACACACCCAATCACGGCAACTTAAATTGATAAATTTTTGGTAATTTCTCTCACATACCTCATAATTATTCTATTATCAAGTTGTGAAGGTAAACCCACTGAAGAAAAGTTTTATTTTCATTTATAATGTCCACTAAAGGTAAAAATTTTCTTCTAACTAATGACGAAGTGAAACAAATTATTCCAATTTTTTTTACAATGAGTTGGGGACTTCGTCTCAGGTGAGCGCGTCTGTACTGTAAAGAATTACCCAAAGATTAAACTTGTTCCTTATTAAAGAGCAAATCACTATCAGAAAAGGGGTAAATTCTAAGAGGATTTGCTTCTTTCACTGAATTGCCACATCCATACAGGTCATAGCAGGAGCTTGAGTACCTACAGGTATGTTAATGGAGAGTGTTTGTAGGTCTTCACTAGGTTATTTTCTAGTACAAGTAATGGGTATGTGCTATTGGGGAAAAATTAGATAACGATCTCCACACGCTCCTCGTTACAAGCTTTATTGAAAGACAATAACCAATCAACTGTCTTTTGGAAGCTATAATACTATATCATATTTACTGACGAAAATGTTTCATTGCCGGTTCATTACATAAGGAATCATCATGCCACGAAATTGTTAATATGATGTGTATTTCCTCTTCGCATGGGAAATAATTCCATTTGTCATTAAGGAGGAGGTGTTGCCACTGAGGTATAATGAAAAGTATTTGTATTTATAGGCGGATCAGCTGATGCAGAGCCGGCCATCGCAGCCATCTTTTACAAACTCTCCCGGCTCTCTCAATTCTACCATTTTCTTCTTGTCAGACGATGCGACGCCTTCAGGAAATCAACCCCCTACTTGCTAACATCATTAAATTATCAAATATTCTCCTGAAAGAGCGAATTGACTTACTGTTGAGGCACGAGAAGAGTCGCCCGGCTGAACATCTTGGTGGACTTGGCAGACGGAGCAGCGGCGATGGCCCACAATGCACTGAGAGGAAGACAAGTGAGCCGCGGGGGATAGGCTGCGCAAAGGACGACTTTTGCCGATATGATATTTGATATTATGCTTATCTTGGTGCTGATGAGATTTACCATTCACTTGGCATCATATCAATAGGATGTTTCAAAGTAGTTTATTTTGTTTGTTTTGGTGCTTATCGGTATTTAGAATTGGTATAACATTATTCAAAACATGTATGCTATTAAGCAAAGAGTGATGGTATGTTAATTGCAATTAGTGCAGTACAGTAACTTATGTAAATACATAGAAGAAATTCACCAGTTGTAATAATAATATAAATATTGTGCCTTCCTCGATGATAATTATTAATACGAAATCGGGCATTAAACGTTTAAGTTAGAAAAATGGAAAATTCTCAGATGTAAACAATCGGAGCACGTTTAAAGGCTGAGACTACTCCAGAAAAAGCTTTTGGTATGGAATTATTCACGTATACTATATTAATATATATCAGGTTGTTAGTACGAAAGTGATAATTAACTTTCTACTTAGTGCTGTGGGCTGGTGTGGATTCAAGTGTCTATGTACTAACAAGGGGCAACAATCTTTAAAACTAAAAATGATGAAACTACTGATGTGTATCATGCGTTATATTCCGTGACTGTTCTTTCGATAACCTGAGGTAGAAGTGTGCGATATGAATAGAGTTTCGTTCATTTCTAAGACCTAGTGACATGTCATTGATGTGAATGTTTGTTGTATTGATAGTTTTGAGGCTATAAAGTAGAATTCATTCACATTCATTTTCAACTTTGATAGCTATAGATATCACAGATACTATAATTGCAGGATGAGTGGCATTTAACAGCTTCAGAAACCTTATGTGTATTATTGGAATGTCTACTTTTTCATCTCTTCAACTCAGCAGTAAATAGACTTTTTCCTTTTTCATAGGGCATGGGATGGATGATGAAACAAGTGCGGAAAGCTCAAAAGAATTTTTGTGCAGAAGATGGTTTAAAAAACTGTGTGCGGAAGTTAGCGAGAACTATAATTGTGTGGGCAGAATTTGACCAAATAAATTTTGCAGACCAGATTCTACAGTCTGGGGTAGTTTCTGAGGTGTAGGTAAAGTTTCAACCAGCCACCACTTACAAAGCAAATAATATTTGGAGTGACAGCTTAAAGAAATCTATGAAACTAATCTCAGTAAACACTTCATAGTTGCTGTAGTGCCAGCAGTCCCCTATTCCATTCTAGAGAGGATGACCATACCCCACAACAACAGTCCCATACTGGTAGACAGTATGCAGTCCATAAACCATTGCTTTACCTGGTTGGAATATATATCTTTTTTGTGAATGCATTAAATTGAGCAAAGACAATGTATGGGCAATAGTTTTTTTACTTTTAATAATAATATTCTGAAGTGACAATAAGTAAGTGATTGTTACTCATGTTTGTTTTTAATTATGGATGGACTTTGTTTTGTTTTGTGATGTTAGTTATGTTAGAATTCAAATATCTGTGAGAAAAAAAATTGTGTGCAAACAAAAATGATGATGGTTACAAATCAAGATCGTCGTCACAAAGAGCTTTTGTGTGTTTTTCAACCTGGTTGCTTTTCCGCCAGATGGCAGGTGTTTCGTGAGAGTGCTATAAATGCCTACCACATTACTACATGTTAGCTTGGAAATCACTCTCTAACTACTGTCATGGTATAAGGTTTCTTACCAATGGGCAGATCTGGCATGAATCAGAACACCACCACCCACATCCATATGGTTAGTGACACAATATACTCAAAACTCTTGCACTGCAACATGATTTGACATGATTTGACCAGTGAAATGGAGTAATCTGTGAGGAGGGCTTTGAATTCCTCAGGTCTTGGTAGGTAAGTCTAAGGTCATTTATAAATTTTCTTCAAACTCCTTAGTAAGATCCCTGATATGCTATTCTTTGTCCCTCTTAAGCAGTATCAGAGTCCTACCTGCAAAGCATTAAGGCAGGTCTCAATCAGCAGTCAGTTGAGTCACATGAGCCTCTATTGCTTTCTGCATGATAAAATTCTGCCTTTTGTTTGAGTGGTTGTCAGTGGACTCCTGAGTTGCATCAGGTATTTTGTGTTTGGTGTCCCACAGTGCTACAGGGTCCATCAGGTTGTTGAGTGTTATGAAGCAAGCAGAGATAGCCCTGATAAACCTCTGAGCAACTCCTCCTCCCTCGGTCTGTCCAAAGTAAACACACTGGATGGACAAGGGGATTTGAAATGAGTGATCAGTACCACAAAGCTCAACACTGGTAATCACTGGAGGATCCTCTAATGAGTGCTGAGATCAGTAGCTAAAAATCCCAAACTATGTGGACTGACAGACATTTATAGCCAGCTTGATCAAAGTCAGAAACTGCATTAAAGTCACTCAGAATGGGTTGGAGTTGCCTCTGTTACCAAAGGCTAAAGTCTTCTGGAAATGGTGATCATTGCTGCACCTAGACCAGTAACAGGTGTAACCACCTTCATGAATTGTGCCCCTGCCAACTTTTCTCACCTCTGTTGTATTTACCCACTCAGACAGCCCTGTCTGAAGTTAAACCTTGGGCTGTCAATTTGCTTTGCCCCTCCTTTATTTGGATATTCTGTGGTTAATCTTTTTTGATTTCTTTAGAATTAAACAAGTAGCAAAATACCAGATACTGTGATGGCTGCACTTTCAGGTCTATCAAAATACTATCAGTTGTTTTATGTTTATATAATAAACAAGATAGCTCATACCATATAATGAAATTAGGAATTTTCTTCTCTATATAAGTGTGGATATGTAGAGCAAGAAATGAACAAGTTTAGGAAGGTTCAGCATGATTACAGTAGCTGTTTAAGTGATAATTTATGTATGGAAAATTAGGAAGAGGATAGTATCACTACGTACAGTATATATGTATATATTGTGTGGTGTACTCATTGCTAACTGTCAACTCACAATGGTTACCTTAGAAAGTTTATTATTGGTTTTTATTATTGTCCATGGAATGGAGAAGCCTAAAAATTTTGTAAACTTAGAATTGAAAATCACCCAAATGAAGTTATTCTTCCCATATCACTCCATGAAAAATGTACATTACATTTCTCACCATTTGCGTTTTTACTGACTTACAGAATTAAAGGAAATACCTAAAGGAAAGAAAGTCTCTGCAAAGATGGCTCGAGGTCGAGGGGGTGGAGGTTCCCGAGATCGAGGCAGGAGACCTTTTGGAAGAGGGGGAAGGAAAAACACAGATGACCTTGCACGGAAGCGGAGACAGTATCAGGAATTTGGAGAAGCCCATCCAGTAGAAGAAAAGGATTTAAACCTAAAGAGAAGAAAGGCAAGGTGTCTTTCCTTTTTGAAATAAAGTTTTTGTGTGTGTGTGCATGCATGTGGGTGTACTTCTGTTCATGCTTGTGTATGTTTTGATATTAAATGATGTGGTGCAGACTGAATGGGGCAGAATTCATATTGAGTTTAATCAACAGGTGGAAGACACAGAGGAAACCTTAGAGGATGAACATCAGTCTGAGTCATCTGATGACAGTTCATCCAGTGAGGATGAAGCAGGTGCTGGTGATGCAGTTTCAAGACTTCTTGCCACTTTCAACACCACTGCCCACAAGGCCATTGACAGTGATGAAGAGGAGGATGACAGTGAAGATGATGATGAAGATGAAGACGATGTTGAGGAGGAAGAGAGGGAAGTAGAGCAAGAAGGAATGGTAGATGATCTTGGAAGTGAAGAGGAGGATGAAGAGGATGGTGAGGAGGAGGAGGAGGAGGAGGAAGAGGAAGAGGAGGCTGATGGGGAAGAAGAGGGTGAAGAAGAGGAGGAAACAGGTGGAGTAGAAGTGGATGAGGTGGTGGAGGAGGAAGATGAAGCATTTGGAGAAGGTTCAACAGATGATGATGAACAAGAGGGTGATGTAAGTAATTTGCAGGTTTGTAATTAGGTCATTTATTGCCTTCATATCTTTTAATTTCTTGTAAGATAAAAATGAAATGTAATATTATCACCTTTCCAATGTTTTTAGTCATAATTTTCTAAAATGATTTTAGTGAGGCTCTAATTATTATATGAGAGGCTTGTCCATTGTTTTATGTAGATATTAATGTTCCAGAATGAAGAGGATGAAATAGATGATGAAGAAGATGAGGAAAGCACTTCTTTCATAGAACCCATTTTCCAAACATTTTGAGCGCAATATGAGCGATTCTGTAGCTGACCAAGTGAAAGACAGGAAGAAGTGGACGTCAAAATTTGAAAAGTGGCCTGCGCTGGGGAGAGTGAAGGTGGAAGTTCCTTCTGTTGAGGTGACTGTCCCCAAGTTGCTTCTCCTCTCTGACAAAGCTGAAGCAGATTGCGATCTGAACATTGGCACTGTACCGAAGATCCCAAAGAAGAAGGATTACAAACTGCAGGACTATTATGTCAGGAAGTTGTTGTGTGAGAATCTCCCACACGCCAACTTTGATGGGAACTCCTCGTGTCCCACAAGTCTTACGGAAACCCAGAAAGAGCTCCTGGCCATCCTGTCCAATTACTCGGACTTGTACTTCCCTGAGGCAACCCATGAGAGATGGGAAGAGATCCGAACAGTGTACACACTTCATGCTATCAACCATGTCCTAAAGACTAGGAAAAAGGTGCTCAATCACAATGGCAAGATCAGCAAGGCTAAGCTGGAGAAGAGACATGAAGACTTGGACTGTTACCGTGATCAAGGCTTCACCCGACCCAAAGTCCTCATTCTCCTGCCTTTCAAACACACAGCCTACAGGTTAGATATTTTAGTGATATCAGGTGATTGATTGACCTAAAAGATTAAAGTAAGATATGTAACTGTGATCCTCGTTATAGATGCTAAAAGAAAATTCTCATGATCTGTAATTTTTTTCTTTAGTATTATTATTATCATCATCATTATTACTGTTATTGCTGGAATTATTATTACTATTGTCATTATTATTGGAGTTGTTAGTAGTAGTAGTTGTAGTAATAGTAATAGAAGTAGTAGTAGTAGTAGTAGTAAAACTCTACAATGAAAGTTTTCCCATGACAGAGTGGTGGAGACCCTAATTACGCTAACCCTTGAAGGGAAAAAATCCATTGTAACAAACCACAAGCGTTTCAAGCAGGACTTTGGGCCAGGAAGTGAAGACGAGGGTGAATTGGCTAACAAGCTCAACAGACCAGATGACTTCAATGAAATTTTCAGAGGGGACACAAAGGAGGACTTCAAAATAGGTGTCCAACTGACCAAAAGCAGTGTGAAGGTGAGTACTGGCCTTGGTTTTGTTTATTTATCTATTTATTATTATTATTATTATTATTGTTGTTGTTGCTATTTTGATTTTTTCTTGTAGTTCGATATTTATGTTTTTCTTAGTGTTGTTCTTTCTTTTTGTTCTTTTTTTCCTGAGATAAAAAAGTATCACCTCTTCAGCGCGTTATTTTGTAACTTATATTAGTTTTTAAGTTTAGGTTGTTTATCATTATTTATGCAATAAATGTATTGTAACATAAAAATTCCATTACTGTAGAAAGTAGTCCTATTACACATATCACCTTTAGAAGCTAACAGAATTGCACATGTAAGTGACCTAGAAATATTATCATATTCAGATTAATGATTATAATTTTCATTTCTGAGAAATATCTTCCTCATTTTTTTTGCATCATTCTTGTTCATAATTTTTATTATCCACATTTTTGATAAGTTCATCATCATCATTAGGGGGCTAATGCCGAGGGAGGCGCTTAGCTGCATCCACCCTTTGTTTCCACCTTTTGGGGTCCCTCATGGCAAGCTGCCAGGCAGGGACTTGACCCATCTCAAGCTCCTCACGACAGTTTGATCGATCTGCCCAAGCCACGACCTCCTAGGTCGTCCCACAGGCTTCCTCCACCCAGCGTTGTCTCTTGCAGAGACAACCTGATGGGCAGGATCATCCTGTGGGAAACGAGCCAGGTGGCCATATAGCCTGAGTTGGCGATCACGGATTGTGCAGGTAATAGTCTCACGGTGCAACCATTGGTTAGACATGTGATCCCATGATCTGGCGCAAGGACATATTACAGAAGGCATCAAGATGAGACTCCAAGGCACAGGATAATGTCCAGGTTTCACAACTGTATAGCAAAACTGGCATTATCAGGGCCTTGAAAACCTGTAGCTTGGTCTTTCTGCACAGGTACCGGCATATCCAAATACTCTTGTCGAGAGAGTTCATGACCCCTGCTGCCAGGCCAATCCGTCTGCTGACTTCCTGGTCTGACAGCCCAGAGTTATGAACTACACTGCCAAGGAATGTAAAACTCTCCGTGACTTCAATGGTCCAGGAGACCTCTAGACCTAAGAGCTTCACTTCATTACTAAATGCATCCAGGGCCACCACTAAAGTTTCCAAAGACTATGATAGAATAGCAGCAGCATCGGGAAAATCAATATCTGTAACCTTGATGTTGCCCAGAGTTGCTTCACAATGACTTTGAACAGTAGTTCTGCCCAGTATCTAGTATTGAAAATTGTTGGTGCAAGGACACAGCCTAGCCTCACTCCTGAACTAACAGGAAAGTAGCACCACACTTTACAGCACTTTCAGTACCAGTATACAGACCAGCTATTAGTCCAATAATCCTTGTTGGAATTCTTCTCAGTCTCAAGATCTCCCAGAGTGATTCCCGATGCACCGTATCAAATGCCATCTTGAGGTCGATGTAGGCTGCAAGTAGCCCACACCCAAACTCACGACAGCGCTCTACAAGGACACGAAGTGTGAGGATACGGTTTATTGTGGACTTACCAGGAGTGAATCCAGATTGCTCCAGCCTCTGATGCCTCAGTAAGTGGTCTCTGATATGTCTCAGAAGGATGTAAGCAAGGACCTTGCCTGGTATACTGAGCAATGTCCCATCGGTCCCCCTTCCCCTTCCAGAGAGGGATGACCACACTCCTCAACAGGTCAGGGGAAATGATACTGGACCGCCAGATGGCAGCCAGGACAGCATGCAACCCTCACGCCATAGGTTCACCACCAGCCTTTAACAGTTCAGCTGGGATGCCGCAAATACCCGCTGCTTTGCCACTCTTCAGCTTGGAGACTGCCTCCCTAACTTCAGTTAGGGAGGGTGGATCCTCACTGATAGATGGCCTTCGACCTCCTTAGCAAGACTCCAAATAAACTGTTTCTTGTCCCTTCTTAACAGAGATCGAGTTCTGAGCACCTGAGAACGGTGCAGATCCTGATCCCCTGTCAGAGAAGCTGTACGGCAAGCATTTGTGGCTTCCAGTATCTCCTGTGAGATAAAATTATGTATTGTCTGCCACAGATGCCAGTTTGGCATAGAACATCTCTTTCACGTCGAGTTTACAAACATTGGTAGGAGCGTACACAGCAATAAGAGACATGAAGCCAAATACTAGCTTCAGTCTCAATACCATTATACACTCATCAACTGGAGTAACCTCTACCACCAAGGGCTGGTGCCTACTGGAGATAGCTATGGCTGCTGCCTGAAGATGATGACCATCGGTGCAGCCTGACCAGTAATAAGTGTAGCCACCTACACTGATCGTGCCACTGACAGGTCTTCTCACCTCCGAGAGAGCAG